GGGGGGGGGGTCTGTATTGAAAAATCAATTCCAAGGGGGCGGGAAAAATCAATTCGAGGGGGGGGGTGGGGGGGGTCTGAATTGAGCGATCAATTATTAGACCCGGACGTCCCAACACTAGCTTCGCAAGACAAACTCAAGGTATCCCCTAAAGGGCTACCTTTCGTGACTTTGAACAGGGAGCGCAAAGACAGAGGGGCAAAATGGGACAAGAGCACGCACTTGCAGTTTTGCTCGGCCCAAGACCCCGAACTGTTGGATGGGCTACTGCTGCTACGGTAGAACAATGCTGATTCCAACGCAGTGCAGCTTTCCTTTAAGATGAACTTAGACTTAGATGCAATGCTATACATCAGGAGAGCACAGGATGCTGGAATCCCTGCAATGCCAGTAATTGTCATATACATACTTACATACACACATATAGTCACACATATATATATATAATATGTACTAAGGCCCATGGCTCTTAGGTTGGAGGCCATCGCTAAGGTGGAGAGTCGACAGTTTTGGAATGGTTTTTGGATGCTTTTGGTGTGTGGATTGAATGAGGTTGACATGTGTGCAGCTATGGTTGGGAGAGCGCCCCGCCCTTGGAACTACCAGGGATTTGTTCGGTGATGTACAGTGCCTGCGATATGGATTTCATGTTTAAGATCTGTATGGAGTAATTTTGCAGTGTTTGATTTTGAGGCCTAAGCAGAGTTTAAAGCGCGCACTCTTTTTGAACAGATGTGTATAGGAAGGTATTGTTGTGTTTCCTGGAATGTCTCGGGCTTCACCGACAGCTTGACGCCACCAGCTCCACCATGCTTCACCGCTTCGCTGCTTCAAAGACGGGCTCAGGGAAGCCAGGTGGATTTTGCATCGGTTTTGTTTTTTTGTTTTTTTGCATGCATATAGCAGTTGTGTTTTTGTCTATTTATTTGTTCGATGAACCGCATAATGGAAGCGCTAACGGTTACGTACTTAAAGTTTTACATGTTCCATCCCAAAGTTGCGGCCATGCTTTGCCTGAAAGGGGGCTGCTTCCGAGCACTACATGTGGACAAGGATTCAGTGTCGGCAATGTGGGATCGACAAACATCCACAAGATGTTGAGACTTGTTCAGATGAAAGCTGGCTACATATACACATCGCTCCACGCTCTAATGAAGCTCAGCATGTGACATGTCCCTGTTGCAAAATTGCTGCTCATCAGCAAGCGTAGTGAGCCCATTTTGTGTTGGGTGTTCCCTTTTGAAAAAAACAAGATGGGGCCCACGAACCCGAATGCAAACACGTTCGAAAAGCTACATATGTCCAAATGACACTCTTGTGGGACACTCTTGTGGGTCACTCTTGCAGGAAACTCTTGCGGGACACTCTTACGGGACACTCTTGTGGGACACTCTTGTGGGACACTCTTCTGGGACAGTCTTGTGGGACACTCTTGTGGGACACTCTAGTAGGAAACTCTTGTGGGACACTCTTACGGGACACTCTTGTGGGACACTCTTACGGGACACTCTTGTAGGACACTCTTGTGGGACACACTTGTGAGACACTCTTGTGGGACACTGTTGCGGGACACTCTTGTGGGACACTGTTGCGGGACACTCTTGTGGGACACTCTTGTGGCACAATGTTGTAGGAGGCTCTTGTGGGGGAGACTCTTGTAGGACACTTGTGGGACACTCTTGTAGGAAACTCTTGTGGGATACGCTTGTAGGACACTCTTGTGGGACGCTCTTGTAGGAAACTCTTGTGGGACACTCTTGTAGGGCACTCTTGTGGGACGCTCTTGTGGGACACTCTTGTAGGACACTCTTGTGGGACACTCTTGTAGGACACTCTTGTGGTACACTCTTATAGGACACTCTTGTGGGACACTCTTGTGGGGCGCTCTTGTGAGACACTCTTGTGGGACACGGTTGCGGGACACTCTTGTGCTTACGGGACACTTTTGTAGGACACTCTTGTGGGACACTCTTGTAGGACAGTCTTGCGGGACACTCTTACGGGACACT